TTGGCATCTATGGTAATTGGGTGTTAGAGGAAGAGCCACCAACTTTGGTAGAAGATGAGTTGGAGGTATTTCGTCGTGAATTGGGTGAATGTACTATACAAAGTGACAAAAATGACGGTAATTGTTCGATTAATGCTAATGTTTCTTCTTCATATGAAAGTATATTTGATGTAACATTGAATTTTAAAACTTTTTTCCAGATGAATTACATTTTGATGATCTTGATCTTGATGATTGTGAAAATTTTGGCAACGGCAATGAAAATACAAGTGATACAAACAATGGAAACGAGGATTTTAGCATGACAGAGACTCCGTCATTTATACAAGGCGAAGGAATTGAAGAATTTATGTCCGAGATCCCAGCATGGATGCGCTCCAACTCTTCTTAATTAAGAAAATATTGATTTATCTCAAATAATTTAATTTGTCGACATGTTCTTTATCCACAAATGACTTTTAAATGATGGTTTTATTTTTGCAAGCATATTCGTAGAACATATGAAGTTCTCTTGTTTAATTTTGTTAGATAAAGTCTTTTTTTTTTTTGTTATTTTAATCGTTTAAATGCATATTTGATTAGACATGGTTTAGAGTTTGTGCTATTTAGGATACATATTGATCTTTAGTTAACAAAATGATATGAGGTTAATTTAGTTATTTGTAGAAAATGGTAAAATTTTATTGTTTAATGAAAATATTTAATAATATATTTGATAGGTATTGTCCCACCGGTTGAACCACCGGGTCTCCGGTTGAACCACTAACCCATCGACCCGTTGTATTGTCCAGGTCAATGTCCGGGCCGAGTCCGACAACTATGGTCCTGTTGTCTTATACACCCAGCATAAGTCCCAAAATCACAGACCAATTGCACTATGCGACCGCATGCTCTAAAGCTATGCAGCCGCATAGGCCAAGTTCGAGGCGGATTTTTTCAAATTTAGCGTTTTTTCCTTATTTTAATAGAATTTCATTATTAGTAGATTTTTACCATAATTAGGCTATTGTGGACGAATTTTGCATTATTCTTAGATATTTTTCCTAGTTTACTTAGGTTCTCGAGAATATTAGAAATACTTTATTCCTTATTGTAAAACATTACAACTCTCATATTATTGAATATTATTCGTGAGGCATTAATTGCTTTCTCTCGTTCTTCGTTGAACAACTTGTGAAGTTATCAAAATTAATCTTGTGGAGTTCAAATCAATCGGGTGAGATTCATTTAAATTGCATACTCAAGAGGTCCACATAGTATCGGCGATTCGGGTTGCTTGGTTCCAGTTTATTGGGTTTAATCCAAAACCTTGTCTTTGACTTTCTTGGGTTTGATTCTCAATTCGTTGTGGGTTTGGTAGTGATCGCGCTACGCGGGTTCGCATTAGTTGGTGTCAGAGTTTTAGCTCCAATTCAAGGTTATATCCATTTTAAATTTTTGTTGAGTCTTTGTTTCTAGTTTTTCTTCGTTCTTCGCGTTCTTTTGCCCAGTAAAATTCTTCAGTCTTTGATCCGAATTTGTTTCGTCTAAAACTTTAAAAGTTATTTTCAGCCTCATTTAGAATCCAAAACAACTTTCGTTTCTTTCGTTGGTGTCGTAGTTAAAGTCCGGGTAAAAAAAATCATACTGTTCATTGTACAATAGCAAAAAAAGAAAAAAAAAAGAGTAAGAAAAAAGTCAAAAAAAAAAGTATTGTTCATGTCCGTACTGTTCACTTCTAATGTTCAAAAAAATTTATTTATTTGTAAATTAGTCCCTTATTTTCTTAAATTGTCTTTTTTTAGTCCAAATTAATTCAAGAATCACTTTCTTGAATTTCAAAACTTTCAAATTCGAGTCCTTCTTTGTTTTGTAATCTCACTCACATCCGGTTTGGGTTTCACGAGACTAATTCCTTAATTGAGTTCCAATTTATTTTTTGAAGCACGTAGTGAAACCAACGAGCGGTAAAAGGCAGAGTGGTAAGATCAATTGAGGGTAAAAGCCAAATTGAGTGAATTCCGAGTGAACTTGCTGAGACAGAAAAAAGTTAGATTATAGGATGTCTGACATGGAAGGAACACATTCTGGCAGGGACAATGATCAACTTAAAATGATGGCAGAATCGATACTGCGGATGGAAAGGATGATGTGGGACGTGAGGGATCGGTTGGATCGACAGGATGTGCGGTTAGACAGGCTTAATCCAATGCCTGCTAATCCTTGACAGGGGGCCAATAATGCACGGCGGAATAGAAGGCGGGAAGTTAGGATAGATGATTAGGATGACTTTGAGGCTGATAGTGGATTCGATGAGGATGCACTTGTAGATGCGGAGGTTGGAAGGGTTAGGAATAGAGGCGTTAGGCAAGGTGTGAGAGGTAGGAATCTTGGTGGAGACGAGTTGGATGGTAATTTAGGAAATATTAAAATGACCATTCTTTATTTCAAAGGGAGGAGTGATCTGGAGGCGTACTTAGAGTGGGAGAAGAAGATTGAGTTGATATTCGATTGCCACAACTACTCAGGGGAGAAAAAGATGAAAATTGCGATTCTTGAGTTCTCCGACTATGCAATAACTTGGTGGGATCAAGTGGTGACGACGAGGCAGAGGATTGGGGCACAACCTATGAATACTTGGGAGGAGTTGAAGATGTTAATGCAAAAATGGTTTGTACCTAATCACTATTATCGAGAGCTTCATCAACAGTTACAAAATCTATATCAAGGCACTAGGAGCGTAGAGGATTACCATAAGGAGATGGAGATACTTATGATTAAGGCGAGTGTGGAAAAGGATAGGGAAGCCACTGTGGCTTGGTTTTTGAGGGGGTTGAATAGGGACATTGCCAATGTAGTGGAATTGTAACATTATGTGGAGATTGAAGACATGCTACATGTGGCCATGAAGGTAGAAAAGCAATTGAAGCGAAAGGGGACAGCAAGGTATCAAGGTGGATCTTCGGTTTCTAATCCTTCTTAGAAGCCGAGGTGGGAAAATAATAAAGGAGATGGAGCTAATGCAAGAGCAAGACCGGAGGTACCGAGAGAAAATGAGGAAGGAGCTAGCTAGACTACACCAAAGGTAGAATCCCAGCCATCAAGGAATCGGGACGTCAAGTGTTTTTGTTGCTTGGGAGTTGGACACATTGCTTCACAATGTCCAAATAAAATAACCATGATTTTGCGAGACAGCGGGGAAGTTGAGACCGAGAGTGAAGGTGATTATGAAAACATGCCGAAGTTGGAGAACGTTGACGAGGAAAACACCATTGAGTATGCAATTGGGAAGTTGTTGGTCACGAGGCGAGCACTTGCGCTCAAATCAAGGCGGATGACTTGAAGTAGCAGCGGGAAAATATATTCCACACATGGTGTCACGTCAAAGGTAAGGTGTGCAGTGTAATAATTGATGGTGGAAGTTGTACAAACGTAGCTAGCACTAACATAGTGGAAAAATTGGGATTAAAACTATTAAAACATCCTAGACCCTATAGGTTGCAATGGTTAAATGAATGTGGGGAGGTTAAGGTGACAAAAAGGGTGTTGATTAATTTTTCCATTGGGAAGTATCATGATGAGGTGTTATGTGATGTTGTACCTATGTATGCGGGGCATATTTTGTTGGGGCAACCTTGGCAATATGATAGGAAAACAATGCATGATGGGTATAAAAATAAATAAAGTTTTGTGAAAGAGGGAAAGTTTATCACTCTTGCGCCATTAACACTGGCACAAGTGTATGAGAACTAAATCAAATTGAAAAATGAGGAAGAAAAGAGAGTGAGAAAGTTAGAGAAAAAGAGAGAAAATAGCGAGGTGGCCGGTGAGGAAGAAAAAAGAGTGGGGCCACATGAGAGAAAAGAAAGAGAGTCTTCCGAGATGAGAGAAAAGCCGAAAGTGAATTTCTTTGCAAAAGGGAGTGAATTGAAAAAGGCGATAGTGGAGAGACAACCAATGATTCTTTTGGTATATAAGGAATCACTCCTCAGTTTTGAGGAGTCTAACACATCCCTCCCTAGTTTGGCTACTTATTTATTTCAGGAATTTGACGACATGTTTCCGGAAGACATGCCTAATGGATTGCCACCCATTAGGAGGATCGAACATCAAATTGATTTCATACCTGGAGCTGACATTCCAAACCGACCAGCTTATCGAAGTAATTCGAAGGAGACAAAGGAGCTTCAAAGGTAAGTGGAGGAGTTGATAAGCAAGGGTTATGTAAAGGAGAGCATGAGTCCATGTGCCATACCCGTATTGTTGGTGCTAAAGAAAGATGGAACTTGGAGGATGTGCATGGACTGTCGAGCTATCAACAACATTATGGTAAAGTATCGTCACCCAATTCCTAGGTTAGATGACATGTTAGATGAATTATATGGTGCTTGCATCTTTTCTAAATTGACCTTAAGAGCGGGTATCATCAAATTCGTATGCGGGAGGGTGATGAATGGAAAACAGCATTTAAAATGAAATATGGGCTGTATGAATGGCTCGTTGTGCTCTTTGAAATCACAAATGCACAAAGCACATTTATGCGATTAATGAACCACGTTTTGCATGCTTTCATTGAAAATTTTGTTATGGTTTACTTTGATGATATTCTAATCTATAGCAAGGACCTAGGAGAGCATTTAGAACATCTTAAATGTGTGCTTGTGGTTTTAAGAAATGAACGACTTTATGCTAATCGGGTTGAAGTTGATGAGGAAAAGGTAAAAGCTATTATAGATTGGCCAACACCTAAAAACATAACCGAGGTTAGGAGTTTTCATGGGTTAGCTAGTTTTTATAGGCGACTTGTTAGGGATTTTAGCACACTTGCCACACCACTTACTAAAATTGTCAAAAAGAGCGTTGCGTTTCAATGGGGTGTAGAACAAGAACATGCATTTAACACCATCAAAGAATGTTTATGTAAAGCACCTATTTTAGCACTTCCTAATTTTGACAAACTTTTGAGATTAAGTGTGATACATCAGGAATAGGTATTGGAGCAGTTTTGATGCGGGAAAAGAGGCCGATAGCATACTTTAGCGAGAAACTAAGTGGGGCAGCTCTTAACTATCCTACTTATGACAAGGAGCTTTATTCTCTAGTTCGAGTCTTGGAGACATGGCAACACTACCTATGGCCGAAGGAGTTTGTTATTCACACCGACCATGAATCATTGAAACATTTGTGGGGTCAAGGTAAGTTGAACAAACAACATGCACGTTGGATGGAATTCATAGAGACTTTTCCATATGTCATTCGATACAAACAAGGTAAGGAAAACATAGTAGCCGATACATTGTCGCGAAGGTATGTGCTTCTCACTTCTTTAAGTGTGAAATTACTTAGTTTTGAGTATGTTCAGGACATGTATGAAAACGATCTTGATTTTTCTAGCATATACAATTCATGTAA